TATTATACACATACATTACTTAATACATTTTATATTATACACATTATTTAATATATATATTATTATTACGTTATTATATATTTATACATTATTTAATACATATATTAGACTATTTTTTATATATTTGTTTAATATGTATTATTTTTTATATTTTATTTAATGTACAATTAATTATATTTTTAATCGTTTGTAGGTCATTTGATTTGGCGTATTAAGGATTATTCCAAAAAATTGGAGGAAGCAAAACAATATGACACAATACTACATAGTGCCATGTTTTCCAATAAACCATATGGTTATGCATTACGTGTAAGTTTTATTATGTATTACTATAAGAATTATTATATACTACACTTTATATATTTTTATTTATAACAAACTTTTCAATTATTTTAATAAGTTGGATATACATCTTAATGGTAAAGGAACTTGGAAAGGTCGTAATATGATTGCTTGTTTAAATGTGATTGCTGGTGAATTTGATCCACTTCTTACATGGCCTTGTCGTCTGCAGGCTGATGTAGTTATACGTGATCAAAACTATAATCAGGCAGAACAGCAGGACTATGTCAAAACCATACAAGTGCGCAAGAAAAACGACGAATATTTCTTAACAAATCAATATTTTCATATTCCACATAAAGTAATTGCAAGTCGTAATTACTTGCGAAATGATTGCTTATTTGTGGAAGTTAGAGTGCTAAAATGACAATTTCATATATAACACAATTTTACTATAAAAGAAGATAAATTAATTCAATATATGTAAACTTTTAAAACAAAAATCAATTTTCCAGTTTTCATTGTTTTTTTTATTGTAAGGAAATATTTAATTAATATAAATGCCATTTTATAGTAACTTTATACTTTATTTTAAGATTTAAATAAGTATGTACTTTTTATATGTATGAAATTATTAAACTTAGATGGATACAAATATTTTAAATTACTAAAATAATTATAAAAATTTTGTGATTAAAAAAAATATTTTTTAAAATTTATAAATTTTTAATAAAAAAACTGCAAGCTTCACATATTTAAAAGACAAACTTATAGCATTTTAAGCAATATTACAATTTAAAAAAAAATAATAATATTTGAAAATTAAAATTTTAAAGCAAAACAATCAGTATGAATAAATACAATTTAATTTAATTTTTTTCTTTGTTTGAGATTAATTGACCAGTAGCTTAATTTTGCTAAATCGTTTAATATATGAACATTTCAGTGAATAATATATATATATTGATAATATGTTTTTAAAACAATTTTTAATATAATGAAATATTTTTGTAAAAAATTCTATAATAAATTATTTTAAGCCAAAGCACGTTATAGTTATAGTTATTTGATTTTTAAATATACAATGAAAATATTTTTATATATCCTGTACAAACTTTTATATTACGTTTTGAATATTATGGTAATGAAATTATGTTTATATGTAACTTAGGACATTAATTCAATTATAATTTTAAATATTCGAAAATATTACTTAGATTTAATATAATATATGTAAAAAAGTTAGTAGAGATTTTGGCCCATTGTGAATTTATGTAGCTGGAGATTATTTATGAAGAACGTTGTTCACCGACTAAAGCATACAAAGCGTGCTTGTAATGTCCAGAGGTATCACCCTGAAAATAATAACATAAGATTTAAACATTTATTTATTTATTCATATATTTTTTCTTTATATACCTTAATCCAGCTCTTCAAGCTTTTGCCGTACATACGTTCGAATGTAGTTTTTATATCGGCCAAATCGATCTGAAAAATAGTTTTTTGTGAATTAAATTTTAGAACATAAATTTGTTACAAAGAATTCACTTAAAAATTATTTCTAAAAAATATAAAAGTGATCTATATATATATATCTATATATATGTCTATACATATATCTATTTATATATGTATATAATATGCACCAATAAAGTGCTGCTGATAATATAAGGGGCTCATATTAAATTATTTCAATGCAAATTTTATTTAAGATTTGTAGAGTCCATGTTTATAAAAACTGTAGTAGAGAAAGACTAAGAATGCATTAGAAAAGCGCAAGGTTTATTATATATTCGGATAATCAGACAGCTATCGAGTGTTTCAACCCTAAATCCAAGTTAGACTGAAGTAGCAAAAACTTTATAATGAATTTTATATGAAGATCCCAACATAGGGTTTTTGGTTAGATATTGTTAAATAAATATTAAATAGATAACATATAGATATATCATATTTTGTTTTTTAGAAATACATTTACAATATTCGCAGCGAAGTCATTTTTTTAACCAATGTTGGGAATTGGGTTTTTGGATAGATATTGTTAAATAAATATTAAATAGATAGCATATAGATATATCATATTTTGTTTTTTAGAAATACATTTACAATATTCGCAGTAAAATCATTTTTTAAGTATTAATAAGGTATTAATAATAATTAATAAGCTCTCTGTATTTGAACGAAAACTCTTCCTGAAAAGGTAAAAGTTCACTAATGATATTTCTTAACTCAAAGAAATAATAAAAATAATAAAATAATAAAAAATAATAAAAAACTAGAACTGAACACTGATCAACATTTGAAAAAGTTGCTAGTTCCAGTCAATTATAAATGTAATTATTTATTTAAAATATATACATATAAAAGCAATTAAAAGGATCCAAAATATGGATACATATAGCCTATTGCGTATATATCTGCACAAGCCTATTACAGAATAAATATGTGGTGTGTCTTACCTCACTACGTGTTATTATAACGCGTATCAATTGTTTATCATTTGTGCCAATACCAGCCATACTCTTGTGTAAACGAGATGCAAAATATTCGGTTTTATTATTAACGCATCTATAGATGGCGATTAAACCTTCCATAATATCACCGGAAAATTCTTTTTTAATAGCTTTTTCCAGTGTATGTCCTGTCATACGTTCATATTCTTGGAATATCTGAAAACAATTAAAATTTTAATATAAAAATAATATTATTAATTAATATAATAAAATATATTTACCAGACGCAATTGTTGATAATTACGTTGGCACAAAATCATATTAAACATGCTTTCATCAGTGCCTACACGTAATTCACCAGCTTTTAGTAATTCTCTAGCATCATTTTGTGCAGTTCCTGCGTCAGTGTGTCCACTTTCATCACGTGCTGCTGTACAGAGTGAAATCAAAAGACGTTTAAAATTGCCAGATGTCTCGGATTTTAGTTCAGATTCCAAGTGAGCACCATACACTGAAAAATATAGACAGTTATTAATAAGAAGTTTATATTACTTTAATTTTAAATATAAGGTGTATTCACGATCTTGAGTAATGAACAGAGTAACCGAGTAAATGCATTACTTCTTTGATCTGTTGAAACGTTCAACAGTGCCATCGATTACCGAGGTCGTTATTCAAGATCGTGGTTGCCGTGTTTTTATAGTAGGAGAACTTACAACGTAAATATTGATTTTTAATAGTGTGTATTTCCATATTAGATAGTGTACATAAGATTTCTATAAGCACATCTTCATCAGTACCAATGCCAGCCATTGCATCATTCAATTCAGCACAATAGTAGTCCACAATGGGACGTAAGAGGCCAACAAGTAACTTCTCGAAATTACCACTTGTTTCTGATTTAATATCCTCGATCAGATCTTTACCAAAATGAGTTTTATATTGACGTTGTATTTCCTATAAAAAAAGAAAATATTTAATTAAAAATGTTTGATATAATGGTCACTCTAAAAGAGCTTAAATAAAGTTATTTATACGATTGAAGCTTTTGATATTTATAAAAATTAAAAAGCTTGTCGCGGCTAAATAAACTATGTCTAAATGTGTATAAAATGACAAATTTTATTACCTATTAAAATACTTTCAAAAATTTTTGTAATAATTCAAGAAGTTTCTCAAAATTTCACATTAACACGGGGAGCATTTATAAGATTGAAGGAAATGACAGAATTTAAGACTTAGGTATATAAAAATTTAAATCTTTAATCTACCTTACTAGCTAAATATTATGTTAGTAAATATCACTTTCATCTTACCTGTCGTTGTTCATTTGTTCGGCGACAAATAATATTGATGAGTGCATCTTCATCAGTTCCAAAACCTTTCATTGCCTTACGCAAATCATGAGCATCTTTAACGGAATCAAAACTTTGAGGTGGAAAAATAGTTGGAGTGCCCTAAAATATTTATAATAAAATGTTTTAGAAATTAATTCAAATATATAAACATATTTTATTAACAGATATATAATTATTATATTTATATATAAATTATTATATGTATTTATTAATATAATTATTATAGAAATAAGATATATCTTTATTAAAAAAAATAAATAAAAACTGATACATAAATAAAGAAGTAAGTTTAACAAAAACATTTGAAATAGTTAATATATATAGCTGTGGTTTATGCGTTCGTTTTTAAAATAACACAGTAAACATAATTCTTGTTACCTAATAAACCGCAAAACTTGATAAAACTCTAAATCGTGTTTAAACATGAGTCTACTGTTAAAATTTGACACAATTGTTGACACTTTGATGTCAAAAAATTATATTTTGGATATTTTGAAGTAGACTTTTGGTTAAATTGGGAAGATCTAATATATACAAAAATAATGCGTATTTGTCATTATTCAAATGCAATCTGCAAAATTTTCTTTGTGCTCAAAACTTCAGAAGTAAATAAACTTCAGCTTCTAAAGTTTTATCACTGTCACGGCCTCATCTCCATATCATAGTTACAAAGCCATGCACTCAGTATATTTCGGTTAATGACAATACCTGGACCACAGTGGTGGTGGTAGTGTCATTGAACAATATACTGCTTTGGTATGGTTATGAGGTAGCAACAGTGACTAAGCTCCAGAAGCTGGAGTTTTCAACAAAGAAAAATATGTGAAAAATATGTAGATAGTCAAGTCCAAGATTAACTTGATAAAAAAATTAAAAATGTTTGGATTTAAAAATTTGATTGCTATTATTCTGTGTTCTATTCGAAATAGATATGTTGTCATAGGATATAAAGATTTTAGTAATAAAATTAATTTTATAGTAAAAAAAAGTAAAGGTAATAAGGTTTTAAGAAATAGCATAAATGCATCCAAAGATATTATTTCAGTTATCATATTACTAAATTATTATACTTTTTAATTAAATTTATTATTATATTTAAAATAAAAAATTAGAAATTATTGTATATTTATATAATATTTCAAATATATATTAATAAAAATAAAATAAGTACATTGTTAAAAATTAATAAAATACAGTAAGTAATATCATAAAAATCACAAAAATAATATTAAATAAAATATTTTTTTTAAAAGATTAAAAATATAATAGAATATTAAAAAATATATTAGAATTTAATTTAAATATA